TCCCCCGCACCTTCTCTCACTTTCTGATGCTGTGTCTGTGGGTGGGCTGTCAGCTTCACTCAGGTCTGAGACGAGCAGAGACACACATATGGGTTGCGTGCGCCCCCCCGTTGACTCGCGCTCGCAAGGATTATATGTTGGCGTGCATGCATCTCTGTCCGGTTTGGGTCATATAGACTGATAAATTAGTAGGGATTATAAGGAAACACAAGAAGGAATATTATAGTGATTTATTAAATAAAAGTAATGGTGATAAGAAAGCTACATGGCGAGTAATAAATAGTGTTCTGAAAAGTCATAAAGCAAAAACAGGTATTTTACAATATTTTTTGAAGGATGACGATGAAATCCATGATGAAAATGAAATTGTAAATGGATTTAATCATTATTTAGTGAACGTTGGATCAAGCCTTGCAGCTAAAACACCAAAAGTAGACAATAATGTGAACCATTCAGTTATAAGTTGTGACAACAGTATTTTTCTTAATGGAACTGACAAAGAAGAAATAATGAATGTTGTAAAAAATCTTACAGATAAGAGATCAAAAGACTGGGTGGACATGGATATGATGTTTGTAAAGGACATAATGAGTTATGTTATCGAGCCGTTTACATATATTTGTAATTTATCATTTTCAAAAGGAATATTTCCAGACAATATGAAAGTAGCTAAGGTAGTTCCTCTCTTTAAAAATGGTGATAAATGTGTGTTCAATAATTATAGACCAATATCCTTATTACCACAGTTCTCAAAAATTCTAGAAAACTATTTGTGACCAGATTAGATAAATTTATTACTAAACAAAACATTCTAAGTAGCAGTCAGTATGGGTTTAGAGCAAAAAACTCTACACCAATGGCTCTCATGGAAATAATAGAACTAATAACTACTGCTGTCGATCAAAAACAGTATTGTGTTAGTATTTTTGTTGATTTAAAAAAAGCATTCGATACTATTGACCACACTATTCTCCTTGAAAAATTAAATAAATATGGTATAAGAGGACCAGCATTACACTGGGTATCTAGCTATTTAAAAGATAGGAAACAGTTTGTACAAATAAATGGTGTAAGATCTGACCTGTGCAATATCACTTGTGGAGTTCCTCAAGGCTCTGTACTTGGACCAAAGTTATTTATTTTATATGTGAATGACTTAGTGAATGTATCAGGACTCCTCAAATGTGTCCTTTTTGCAGATGACACCACATTTTTTTGTTTGGGTAAAGATGTAAAACGGATGTTGGAATTGATGAAGACAGAATTTGATAAAATACAAACTTGGTTTAAACTTAATAAATTATCATTAAATTTAGATAAAACTAAATACATGATATTTAGTAACAAAAAGAGAACTGTTGATGATCCATTTAAAATTGAGGGTGTTGAGATTTGTAGAGTTAATGAGATGAAATTTTTGAGTGTAATCATTGATGAACAGCTAACATGGAAAAATCACATCAATTCTGTAAGAACAAAAATATCTAAATCTATTGCAGTACTATACAAAGTCAGGGAATTATTAAATGATAAAGCTCTGTACATGTTGTATAACACAATCATTGTTCCACATTTAATCTATTGCATTGATGTTTGGGGGAAAGCGTGTAAAACATTTACAAAGTCTATTTTTATTTTACAGAAAAGAGCTGTAAGAATTATCTCCAGAAAGCATTACAGTCACCCATCAAGCACATTATTTTATCAACTGAAGTTATTAAAGTTCCATGATTTGGTAGATTACAGTATTTTATCAGTTATGTATTGGGCTCAAAATAACACATTACCATTAAATATCCAAAGAAATTTTGTTAAAAGACCAAGTTGTTATAATCTTAAGGGGATAGAAATATTTGTCAAAGCAAAATTCAGAACTAGTCTGAAGGGAAGGTCTACCTCAATCCAAGGAGTTGGATTGTGGAATGGTCTAGAGAGTGATGTGAAAAATGCCAAGTCAATGTGTACATTTTATTATGGAATTGGTTTTTTTTTTTTTTTTAAATGAATAAACTTTATACCATACCATATAGACTGGAGTGAGAGAATGAACCAGAGAAAACCAGTGAAGCAGTAAATGAATGTGTGAGACAGAAACACGAGTGATAAAAACCCTGAGGCCCATCAGCACAGCTTGGTTCATGAGGTTTGTCCACTTTCACCTAACGGGGCCAAAACTGACTTGATGGAACAATCCAGAACAATCTGGTCCAGAGGACCAGATTTAACTTTTTTAGATTTTTCTACCTGGATTATTGAGCATGCATCAGGATATTAATAGAACAATGTTTTAAGTTTTTACAAAGGATATTGCAAATATTAGAATTTGGTTAACGAAGATGTGAAAAACAAAGTTTAATGTTGAAATGTCCAGGAATTCAGATTTTGTGTGCCCTTCATAAACTCCACTAATAAATTATCTGATCATTAAAATCCTTGTGTTATATTATTTTATTTAAACTTTATTCTACCAGGTAAAGTTTTGTTGAGATTAAGAATGTGTTTGTTGTTATATGATCATAGCCAATACATAAGTCAATTAGTGAAACTGAGTAAATGTGAAATTATGACAAACCTAATTGAACCCAAGAGACTAATCAGTGATTGATCACATTCATACACTGATGGGACACACATCAGAGGCTATGAGGGGTTCAGTGTCTTGTCCAGGGACACTTCGACATGTGACTGCTGGTGGATTTGAACCCCCAACTCTTTCATTTGAGGACATCAGCCACAGCCGCCCATTAACTCTAAAATAGTTGTTGAAGCAAGTGTTACTTATGGAGGTAAAAGTACATGTTAACTCTTAAAATACACCAGAATGCAGGAAATGACATCTACTTTATTAAAAATGTTCTGGGGGACGACCCCCCCACTGTGCCTCCCCATCACATTACAAATGCTTCTGATGCCAATGGCCACCACGTTGCTAAACAAGAGCACATACGGTGTTCAAAGTGAACTCAACTTAACTCAGTCTTGGTGGTTTGAGTTAATCTGGTGGTGGTGGCCTGGGATGGCATCAGATTCCCAGCCTGGATTATTGTCCCAGTCCGCCCCTGGTCGCCTTCATGCATGCTCAAGATGAGAGTTCTGTGATGAGTTAAATTCAAAGTAGGGCTGGGCGATATAGAAATATTTTTAAAATATCTAGATCATTTTTTTGCGATATAAATTGACTTTATTTTGATATAAACGATATAATTCTCCTTGAAAATCCACCAGCTCTGCTCTTCTTTCTTCTCTCACATGGCCCCCCTCCTCTCACTCACTCCAAACTCAGCCCTACCTGCACGCTCTCCCCCTGCTTCCTGCTTCTCTCCAGGTGGAGCGGCTGCCTGCTGCACGGAGCAGCCACAACACAAATTTAAAATGGAGAGCGAGTCACAGAACTGGTGAGCAGGAAAAAAATGGCTCTGTTATTTGGAGATGGTTTGGATTTAAATTGTCAGATGTGCAACAGAAAAATGCAGCAAATAAGTCCCAACGAAAATGTTTGAGCACAACGAACCTTTTTCACAGTTTAAAGCAGCGCTGAAAGTGGAGTAGGAAGCGTGTTGGTGCTGCAGCTCCGGCTGTCTCAGTCTTCCCAGCTTCCTTCCCTGAGACAAACTACGGCACCAAACTCTTACCTGTGCTGTGCCTTATGACAGGCGACGTGAATAAAACATGGTCTTACCACATCACTAAACATGTCAACATGTGGCGCTGCCTCCTCTCACTGTAAGACGTGACGGTCTGTGGACAGCAGTTCTTTCTCTGCCCGTCTGTGCAGCCAACTCCACCCAGCCTGCCCTCCCCCTCCCTCACTGCTGCAGGTCACACGCTTACTAACACAGTGAAGGCGGTGCAGCTGGAGGAGATCATTATTTAATATATGTAAAAAATAAAGGTCTAAAATCAAACTTTGATATATGTAAATAGTAGACATTTATTTTGTACAGTTATAGCTGTTTTTAATAAATGTGCCTGTGTGACAACTGGGACAAAGCTTTGACTCAGAAATATATTTTTGTTATTTTATGGAAAGAAAAAAATAGATATATATTGTATATCGCCATTTTTCTTAAAATATCAAGATATAAATTTGGGTTCATATGGTCCAGCCCTCATTCAGAGCAGTGTGCTCCTCGGATAAATAATGTTAAATTATTATTTTCCATATGAATGTTTCTGTTCAGTGCCTGGGATGATTTCTGTTGTGACCTGGAGCTGCAGAAGTAAAGTGAAGACAAGATGCCACAACGTGTTGAAAGCACCTTCTTGAATCAGGTCGAGTAGTTGTAGATGTACATTCAGTGATAAATCAAAAGCTGTGGTTAGACCCAACAGAACCAAGAGATGCAACATGTTCGTTTATCGATTCTGCTTTAAAACAAGAGCACATTTATTCAAGATGAACGTTTGCAGGCTCAGAACATCAAGTGGTTCACATCATACGTGAACACATTTGGATCACTATTTGGAAAAAAACTGGTCAGTTCTGTTTCCTTGTCACCCTTAATTAATGCATAATGAACAATTATTAATGGTTTATAAAGTGTTTATAGGAATTAACAACAGATGTATAAACTATTGGCCAGTTGTAAAGTGGTACCAAGCAGCTGGAGACACATTTGTTCAGAGTGGCTTTTATTAGATTTTGTCCTATGTCACACGTATGTTGTTTGATCTCCTGCTTCATCTCCTGTGTTTTCATGTCTTATATTGTGTGAAGCACTTTGTGGTTTCTGACCTGTAAAAGGTGCTATAGAAATAAAGTTTACTTGCATACACCAGCCCACATGTAAGGGTTGTCAGCGGTGATGTCACATATTTATGGGTTTTTCCACTTTATTAGACAAACATGGACTGATGCAACTTATAGGGCGGTGTGACGTTTACAGTGGAAAATATGGTGTCCTGCAGCCAGCCAACAGGAGACACTGGTTTAGAATGAGCAGCAACTTGCATGAGCACGGTTCCATGTGTGTGCGCTTGAAACAGAGTGAGTTACTCACACATGGTCGTGTCCTCCGTGTTGGTGGCAGCTGTACAACAGGAAGCAGTGTGGGCTCTTCCACTCGTTTGTCCCGCGTTGCTCTCAGGCCGAGGAGGACTGCAGGGAACAGAACGTGGTTACAAACGCTGCTGCATAACTTCAGCTGGATGGCTGAGTGGCTCAGCTGGTTCCTGCACCACATCTTGAAGATGTCATTACGTGAGTGTAGCCACGGTGCTGAGGTAGTGGTGGATGTTGAGCATGGCGGCGTCCAGCAGGGTGTGAATGTTCTGCAGACACTGCAGCCTGGCCTCCAGGCCCCGCCGCCCTTCTGCCTCCAACTCCCTCAGCTCCTCATCCGACAGCTGCGACAGAGATGGAGGAGGAGGAGGCATTGATGACACTGGTGAGGAAGAGAAAAAATAGTTCATTTAAACAATAATAATGGTCATAAATAAGCTTCAATGAAATTTGTTGATCCCTTCAAACACACGGCAGAGACGTGCAGATCAAACAAAGCAGGATGACAAACTGACAAGAGTTACTTTTTTAAATATCATTACTCTCCTTAAGAGAAAATAAACATTTATAAACATCAGTGAAAATGTTGAACTTGAACACCTGAAGTCTTTCATGTTCAGAAAGAAGAAAAGCTTACGGAAGGGAGGAGGCGGTGGCATGGGCAGCCACGGTGCAGTGGGAAAGGGAGGAGGTGGGAATGAGAAGGGGAATGCTGGGAGTGCTGATCCTGGAGCTGCTGGGGACGACGGCGTGGCTGCGTCTGTGGTAGTAGAAGACGTGGGCTGACTGGTGCCTGGCAGAAACACAGGTGCAGCACTCAGTCACTTACAAACACAAGAAACAAGGCAGTTCTCAGAGTAAGCATGTCCAGTATCGTGGCAGTACCAGTAGTCTGTGTTGCTTCTGTGCTGCTCTGCGGAGCGTCAGCGCCACCAGGAGCTGGAGCTGCTGCAGCAGGGGGGGGCACTGCAGGAAATGGACCCCAAAAAGGGAAGATGCCAGGAGGAAAGCCAGGCAGCATGCCTGGAGCTACTAAAGGAAAGAAAGAGCACAATAAAAGATGCTGGTCAAACAAGAGGTCCACCTTCAGCTCCGACTGCTGCACATCAGTTTCTACACAACTGTTCCACTAGAGGGCGGCACGGTGGCTCAGCTGGTACAGCTGCCGCCTCTCCGCAAACAGGGTGTCAGTTCAAATCCCGGCTGCGGGTCTTTCTGGGTACAGTTTGCATGTTCTCTCCGTGCATGTGTGGGTTTTCTCCAGGTCCTCCAGTTTCCTCCCACAGACCAGAAACATGTTGGGCTGACTGGTAACTCTGAACTGTCTCCAGATGAGACAGACAGAGAATGTTTGTCTCTTTGTGTCCTCGAGGTGGACTGGAGACCTGTCCAGGGTGTCCCCCACCTATCGCACCGTGACTGCTGGACATGGACACCAGTGACCCGAAAAGGAAGAAGCGGGTCAAGATGATGGATGTTCCACTACAAGAACACAAATGTTCCACATGCTTCAGTCTTGAGATGATGAGCTCAGATGAAATGAAGACTAGATTTCTCCACAGAGGAGCTCATGACCAGGAATATGTAGAAGTTTAAAGGTGCTCTTACACAGCTGCACTGCGCTCCGCCTCAACAAACATGTTGACTCATGTTCACGTGTTTCACCAAAACATCCATTAAAACAGCAGTGAGGAGAACAAGGCAGCGCTCTACCAGCACAGTCTTCTGTCCTTAAAGGGAAACTCTGGTCATTCTGAAAGTGGGTTTGTGGAAAAGTGAAGAACATTTACTGTATTTTCTTACCTGTTGTGGAACAACACGAATTTGAAGAAATAGTTTGATTCTGACCAGCTGATGAACTAACAGCTAGTCTGAATGCAGAAAAGTCCAAAACAGATCAGTGACAACTTAAACAACTGGAATCTGGAACAATTAATAAAAGCTTCATGCAAATGTCATTTCATAGACGTTTTACGCCAGACTTTTATTTTGCAATATACCATCATTTAAATAGAATTTGATGCATCTTTGCAAACCGAAACTGAAGTTGGACAAAGGACTAGCTAGAACAGGTAAGATATTAATCGTTCATGTTCTTTCTACATAAACTCACTTCAAAATTGCCTCAATATACTTATAAATTTAAAGTTTATTAATTATTTCTTTGCCTTAGTGATGACAGCTTGATTCTTCCAGTCAGAGGTGTGTGTATGCACAGACTGGAGTTAGTAAATAAATATCTGTCCATTTCTCGTACACACCGACTGAATAAGGTGAAATTATCTGAACTCAGACAACGTTTCAACTACACACCATTTCAGCTGCTCCTTGAATCACTCATCATCAGTGAAATTATTGTTATTACTTTTCTGTGACAGCTTGGAAAACGTATCCTCTAATGTGGATATGTTTTTTTTTTGACAATATTGTAACAATCAAATATATGTTGTTAAATGTTCTGCAAGTTGACTCCTCTTCTGTGGTTCTTTGTGCCAAGTGCAACATGGCCACATCCTGTCAGAAAGCTGCGTGGCACATACAGTGAGGATGCTTAGTGTCTAAAATAATCTATTCATAATGTAGTTTTATTTGTTTACTCTTGTGAACTGACTGCTTCAAAACTGCAGCACCAACAACACATCGCTGTCAATCATCTGGCTGCATGCAGCCTTCATGAGGAAAACTTCAACATTAAGGTTGGGATTCAGGATTTTTTGTTTTGACTCACCATTTGGGGCCAGAGCAGCTGCTGGAGCATTGGCGGGGGCTGCGGGGGCAGGGGGCGGAGCCTGTGCAGGTGGAACTGGAGTCTGATTGTTGTTGGTGGCTCTAAGTACGTCCATACGACAGGTTGGACATGTCTGCTGTCTCTGGAACCAGGAGCGGAGGCAGCTGCGGAGCAGGGAAGCACAAAGACACCATTAAATAGAAAAAAGGTTTTTGTTATTTTGCAAAAAATAAGTGTGCATTGAAATGTATGATATCATTGCCTAATGTTGCTTATGACCATGTCTTGACAGAAGTATTCAAACAGATGAAGTTGAGGACAAAGAATTTGAAACCAGTATGCATCTACATAGAAGTTGCACAAAAACAGGAGCCATAGCATCAACATCTGACAGTTGAGAACAATTAGAAATGAAATTATTTAAATAGCTGCAATAGGATCTAGTAATACTTTTCCCACTCACAAATATGTAATATTGGATACTTTTCTTTAAAAAATAAATGACCAAGTCTAATATTTTTGTCTCATTTGTGTAGCTGGGTTCTCCATCTACTTTTAGGACTTGTGGGAAAATCTGATGATGTTTAGGTCAATTATGAAGAAATATAGAAAAATCTAAATGGTTCACACATGTTCAAGTACTACTGTGTCTATCTTTTCAAAAAGGGGGACCAGGGTGTGCTCCAATTATGGGGCATCACTCTCCTCAGCCTTCCTGGTAAGGTCTATTCAGGGATACTGGAGAAGCGAGTCCGAAAGTTGGTCCAACCTCAGATCCAGGAGGAACAATGTGGGTTCTGTCCTGTCTGTGGAGCACTGGATCAGCTCTTTACCCTCACTAGGATCCTCGAGGGGTCATGGGAGTTTGCCCATCAAGTCTACGTGTTTTGTGCACTTGGAGAAGGCATTCAACCGTGTTCCTCGGGGTACACTGTGGGGGGTGCGCCACGAGTATGGGAGTGGGGCCCGTTGTATTGGGCTGTTCAGTCCCTATACAAGCGGTGCGAGGGCTTGGTTCGCATTGCCGGCAGTAAGTCAGACCACTTCAGGGTGGGAGTTGGACTCCACCAGGCTGCTCATTGATACAGATTCTGTTCATAACTTTTATGGACAGAATTTCTCAGTGCAGCCAGGGGGTGGAGGGAGTCCGGTTCGGTGGCCTCAGGATTCCGTCTCTGCTCTTTGCAGATGATGCGGTCCTGTTGGCGTCATCGTGCCATGATCTTCAACGCTGACTGAGCGTTTCGCAGCCGAGTGTGAAGCGGCTGGGAATCGGCACCTCCAAATCTGAAGCCATGGTCCTCAAGCGGAAAAGGGTAGAGGGTGAGGTTCTGCCTCAAGTGGAGGAGTTCAAGTATCTCAGGGTTTTGTTCACAAGTGAGGGAGGAATGGAGTGTGAGATTGACAGATGAACTGGTGTGGTGTCTGCAGAATTGCGGATTCTGTGCCGGTCCGTTGTGGTGAAGAGGAAGCTGAGCTGTAAGGCAAATCTCTCGGTTTACTGATCAGTCTACATTCCTACCCTCATCTATGGCCAAAAACCCTGGGGAGTGACCGATGGAATGAGATAGGAGATACAAGTGGTCGAAACTGAAACAA